GAGAGAGAGAAAAAAAAAAAAAAAAAAAAAAAAAAATATATATATATATATATATATATATATATATAAAGAAAAAAGGAGACCCAGAATTTGGAAGAAACTGGGGACAGGTATATAAGAGGATTTGGAGGACAGAAAGGGAAAGGAGAAAAGTCGTAATCAAATTATAATAAAAATAATAAGGGCTGGAGAGATGGCTCAGTGGTTAAGAGCACTGCCTGCTCTTTCAAAGGTCATGAGTTCAATTCCCAGCAACCACATGGTGGCTCACAACCATCTGTAATGAGATCTGGTGCTCTCTTCTGGTATACAGGCAGAATACTGTATACATAATAAATAAATAAATCTTTAAAAATAATAATAATAGGCCCGGCATTGGTGGCACATGCCTTTAATCCCAGCACTGGGGAGGCAGAGGCAGGTGGATCTCTGTGAGTTCTGGACCAGCCAGGTTACACAGACTCTGTCTCAAAAATAATCTTCTGGCCGGGCAATGGTGGCACATGCCTTTAATTCCAACACTGGGGATTCAAGGGCAGTCTGATCTACAGAATGAGTTCCAGGACAGCCGAGGCTACACAGAGAAGCCCTGTCTCAAGGAAACAACAACAATAACAACAAAACTGCTCTGCTAGACCAGCCGTCAGTGGTCTTGTTTGGTTTCCCCTCAGCCTTAGACTTTTCTACATCTTGAACAGAGATAGTGGGATGAAGTCTGCCCCCCTCCCAGAAGGAAAACAAGGCAAAGGGAGTCTCCGAGAACAAACAGGGCTGTTAAATTACTCATGTTTATTTATAACAGACCTTCAGCCAGTACAGTACAAAACTTACAGTAGTATTTCTCCATTACACAAATATTTACTTACAGTATGTTACATATACAAAACGCTTTGCAGGAAGTCTCAAAAGCTGGTTTAGCTCCCTTTGAGGAAGGAGCAAAACTCATTAAAAAGAGGGAAGGGGAGGGTCAGAGGGTGAGAGAAGAGGTGAAGGGGCAAAGGTCAAAAGGGATACCAAACAGGCTACAAAGGAACCCTGGGGGAGGAGAAGAGGTGATATTGCACTTGCTTCTGTGTTTATTCTATTTTTGATCTTCATAATTTCTGATTAAAAATATATATGTATATTATTTACACAAGGAAAGAAGCTGCCAGAAGTATTACAAAATTCCACCTGCAGCTTGGACACCGACACACACATACACAAAGGTCTGGAAAAGTGTCTATTTAAAAATTCTCTCCCTTCCCCCTACTTTTTTTTGTGGTGTTGTTTTTGAATAGTAATAAAAAAAGAAAACACCTCTTTTCTCTGTGTGGGTTTTGGGTGTTTTGTTCTGTCATCACTGACTTTTCTTTACTTTTTTTTTTATGCAAAAGGAGCTGGGAGAGAGTGTGAGGATGTTTGAGGTTGAGGAGCTGGAGGTCTCTGAAAAGTAGGAATTTGTACCTAAGACCCTGGTTAAAGTGCAGTGATGGGCTGGAGAGGGACAAGGTGCCCCTCCCCTCCCTAGCACCTGGCCTTGTCCTTCTGTCTCTGCTCTTGTGGGCGCACAGTATAGCCTCGGAGCATAGTCCTTCAGGGTTCTGGGGGGGTTACAGGCGCTAAGGCTGACTAAAGGGAGAGAGGCATGGGGCACTCAAAGACTCTGATGCCTCAGAGGAACTGGTCCTTCTGAGGCATTCCCAGATACATGGCGGGCACAGAGGTGGTGGGAACAGGTCTGATGGGAAGAGGCTCGGTAGCCAGAATAGTTCAGGAGGAGCACAGATACCAACCTCAGCTCTTCTGCCATCCCTAGGAGTTAGTGCCAAGGTTCTGTCTACAAGACCCTTCCCTTCTCTTGGGACTACTCCCTCCGGAGCTCCCACCCTATTCTCCACCTTTGGCAGCACCTGTTTATTGCTACAGTGTCAAGGAGGAAGAACCACCCCACAAAGCTCCTCCCTGCCAATCTGGTCCTTCTGGGAAGCCATGTAATGCAGAAGGAAGAGGAGAAAGTTTTTTCACCCCGCCCTTCTCATGAGAGGGGAAGGCAGACTCTCCAGAAGGCTTAACAGCCCCAGTCCCAGGATCTGATCTAGTCCACCCTTTCATGCCTCTCCAGATCCCTAATAGGGAGTGAGAAAAATAGAGAGAGGCAAGAGAGCCAACAAAGAAAGGGCACGTGGAAAGAAAGATGGACGGGAAAGGGAAGGAAGAGAGAAGACCAAGACTTATAACTTATGAGGTGCTGTGTTTGGTTTCTACTTTTTTTTTTTCTTATTTTCTTTAAACATAGAAAAACAGCCTTTGGTTTGAATCTCAAAGAAGCAGAGAGGGGGATGGCTGTGGCCTTGGCAGGGAACTCTTTATAGAGAGAGACCTCCATGTGCAGTGGGACTATGCCTTCTCCTGCGTGGTCTCACGAATCCTCGATTATCCAAATAGCCAGGGTCTCTGCAACCACCAGAGAAGAATGCCCCTCCTGCCCTGTGTCCCGGCCGAGCATGGAAGGGCAGTGAAGGATGACTCCCAGTTGCATCCATCCCATTCTTGCTGGGACAAGGGTGGGATGGTCGATGGGCACATACATGTTATTCATCCTGGGACAATTTTTGGTTATACTGAAAAATTAGCGGAGAGGAAAGAGACATCCCTTTCTCCCCCCCAGGACCCGGGGAATGAGACGGTGGATCCTGTGGCAGGGGAGAGGAAGAAGGCAGCGTGACTCGTGGGGCTGAGAGGCCCCTGGTCATTGGGCAGCAACCCACTGGTTTCTCATAGAACGGGGACAGAAGGAGTCCCTGAGGGCCTAGGAAGGTCACTGGAGTGAAAAAAGTTTGAAAGGTGGAGGAGAGAGTTCTACCCACCCCCTTTCCCGTGCCCTGGTTCTCAGCTAGGCACCTGCAGCTCTGGGTGTGTCAGACAAGGTTGCAGGCCTAGCTTTTAGCCCCTGAGAATATAAAATGGGGGCATTCCAAGAGGAGAGAAGCCACCACTGAGGGGAGTGGCAGGTTGAGACCAGAGTGGTGTTGAGGGGTGAGGCAGGGAGCGGGGAGAGCAGAGCGATACACATCCTGGAGGGAGATCCCGAACGGAGGCTTTAGGGGGCTTGTATTCCCAGGTGAGGTCAGGAGGGACCCTCAGCCCACAGGTCCTGGGGATAGTCTCTACAGCCCCCTCCTACTTCCAAGAGGAAATTCTTCACTCATTTAAGAGTAGTAGTGCAAGCTGCCTAAAGTGAGAGGGCACGAGAGGTATGGAGTACCAGGTTGAAGGGTCCCAGAGAGGGTGCCACGGAGCTCAGATTGGGGCCACTGGGAGGTATCAGCATCAAAAGTGAAGAATCAGATAAATAAAGGTGAAAACTAAAGCAAGAAGCTCAATGTCTCGTACTACAGAGAGGAGCTTCCAACCCCTGGGGCTGCTGGAGGATGTGGGATCCACAAGGAAGAAGAAGAAGAAGAAGAAGAAAAAAAAAAAATCTAGGCTTAGAGAGGAAGGGAACCCTGGGCAGGAGAGTGAAGGAATAGCCAGAGATTGCAGTAAATGTAAAAAGGCCAAGGGAAAGTCATTAGTAAACAGCAAATATGCTGGGAAGAGAGGAGTTTAGGAGGAGAGATGTAAGCAAAAGACTCGCCTTGTCACAATGCTTAGATCAGTCATGGTAGCAGGGGGCAGACGAAGAGGGGTCCGAGTCTAGTGTGAAGCGAGGCGGCCAGTGAATGGGGCTACAACGCAAAACTCCTCGGGGTTTAAGGGGTATTGGGCTAGAGAGGGGCCCCTAGCCCACCTTATGTTCCCCCCGGACAATGTGGGAAGAGAACTCATACCGGTCCTGGCTGTGATAGCCACAGATGTTACACTCGAAGGGGTCTCTGAAGCCGTGGCAGCCCATGTGGATGGTAAACATGACGTGGTCCAGGAAGAGGATGCGGCAGTGTTCGCACTTAAAGGCCTTCACGGGCTCGCCGCTCTCACCCACCACCCGAAGCACTTCCTTGGAGGGGCCTGGGGTGCCCCGCAGTAACCCCTCCTGTGGTTTGGGGTCCTCTTTGGCATAGGCGGGACTGTGCCGGCCCACCACGATGGGGGGAGGAGGTTGGGGTGGGGGACCCTGAGGGAGGGATACCACCCCGCCGATCCGATCTTCGTGGTTGCTCTCTGTATCCGTGGAGTCCTGGCACCCGTTGCTGGGGGATGCCCCGGGGTCCGTCAGAGAGCCTCGGGCCCGGTAGAGAAGGGGACCTCCATCTCCCAGGTCCTCCGGTCCTTCACCTGCTTCCCGGGACCCCGGAAGCTCCAGTCGGCTGGGGAGGGGCTGCATCTGGGTGTACACAGAGCTGATGACAGGTGTGAGCTCCGAGATGCAGTTGGTGGGTGGGAGGCGGAGGGGACGCAGATGCTCTGTGCCCACGAAGGCTAGAGAACCTCCAAAACCAGGCTCCAGGCCGTGGTGCGACACCAACTCCACATCCTTTTCATAGCCACTGCTGGGGTTCACATCGTAGGGGAGGTCCGAGAGGCTGAAGCGCATCTGCTTTTCACCTGTGGGGAGAGTCAGGTCTCGTTGGGACTGGGTTCGAAGAAGCCAGAAGTTATGCCCAGAATTACTTCCTTGTTTTCTAACCTAGGGGCCTCAATATAACAGCATTGTTATCGTTACTATTCATTAGTTTTGGGGACCCAACCCAGGGCTTCACAGATGGGAAGCACACATTCTGCCACTGATATATATATATATCTGCACAGTCCCGGTCAGGTCCAAAGCAGGCAAGGCATCTCTGTAGCACGAAAAAATAAAAACCCAGAGACAGATATTGGGGTTCAAGCTGAGGGTCAGATAAGCAAAGCAGCTGGCCACTAGCTCTTACCTCTACCTCACACTGAAAGGGCTGTCTTCTCCTTAGTGTGGCTGGAGAATAAATCTCCCCACCAAGCCTCAGACTGCAATCCCAGACTGCTGCCTCTTCGTTTTATACCTCTCAAATTCTGGGATTAAAGGTTGTGATCCCAAGTGCTGAGATCACCTTTGTGTGAACTGTTTCTCTTTAGGACTGGATCAATTTCATGTAGCTCAGTGTGGCCTTGACTAATCTCATCCATCTGCCTGTCTATTGAGTCCTGGGGTTAAAGGTGTGTGCCATCACAGCCTGACTCTATGGCTAGCTAGTATGCTGCTGGGATTAACAGTGTGTATCACCATTGCCCGACCTCTATGGCTGGTGGCTGGCTTTGCTTTCTGAACCTTCAGGGAAGCTTAAATAAATCATAAACGATGTATCTATCACCTCAAGTCTCTATGAAGTTTCACTGTCATCATTGTCTATAAAGTTTCAGATCCTCAGAGAGATAATGCCATTTGCTGGTCAGGGAACCACTTGTTCACTTCCTCTTTCTTGACCCGCACAGTCCTTGTTATTCTCACAAGACAAGAAACCTCGAGCCCGCATGAGTCCTCAATATAGACTGCTCTCTACTCTCTCTCTTATGTGTGTTTTGTGTGTGTGCATGTGTGCATACTCATCTTTGTGCTGGTGCATGCGTGTGTATGTGTCCATGTATGTGGAGGTCAGAGGACAACCTTGTGTGTCATCCTCAGGGATGCCATGCACCTCCTTTGGAACAGGATCTGTCATTGGGCTGAAGATCACCAATTAGGCTAGTCGGCCTGGCCAGTGACCCCAGGTCATCCTTCTGCCTCTGCCTTCCCAGGGCTAGGATTATAAACACATGCCACCATGCCTGGCCTTCTTATGTAGGTTCTGGAGATAAAGACTCTAGTTCTCATATTGCAAGGCAATCACTCCACAGACTGAGCTATAGCCCCCAACTCTCTTGAAGTGTGTCGTCCCTCCCCATCCACTTCTGTCTGAGGGGACATTCTGAGCACCACAAAGATCACTATACTGCTCCCCACCCTGCCCTAAATCAAATCACCAGACCAGGTCTCTGTTCTGATGGCAATCAAAGCTGTGATTGATTGGGGCTATGGTTCAAAGGACTCTTACCTACAAACTTCTGCGGGGTGGAACGTTTGCGTTTGGTGAGGCTGTTGGCCAAGCGATCTATGAAAGTTGGCCGCTCGGATGATGAGTGCAGCATTGAGTCGGGCACCATCTCCAGGTCACGAATTTCGTCACCTGGAGGGGAGGGGCAGGTGGTAGCAGCTGAGTATGAATGGCATTGGCCCAGCCTTTGACTGGAGAAAGCCAGCCAGTCAGTAGTCAAGGAAGGTCGTACCTAAGAAACTGGGCTTTCTTTCTTTCTTTCTTTCTTTCTTTCTTTCTTTCTTTCTTTCTTTCTCTTGAGACAGGATCTCACTATGCAGCCCTGGTTGAGCTTGGACTCATTCTGTAGACCAAGCTGACCTTGAACTCACAGAGATTCACATGCTTCTGTGTTCTAAGTGCTGGGCTTAAAGGCCTGCATCACTATGAGCTATTTACCCTACCTAAAGCTCATTCTAGGAACACTCCAGACCATTTGAGGACAATTATATACACCTACCACTTGACCAGAATATTCTTTGTGCTCTCTCTCTTTGTTTTTTATTTTGTTTTGTTTTGTTTTGTTTTTGAGACAGGGTTTCTCTAGCTTTGGAGCCTATCCTGGAACTCACTCTGTAGACGAGGCTGGTCTTGAAATCACAGAGATTCGTCTGCCTCTGACTCCCAAGTGCTGAGATTAAAGGCCTGAACTACCATCATCAGGCTAGCTTCCTTCTATGTCTGGATCTCCCTTATAGATCTGCCCCAGAGCTGTGCTGGACATTCCCTGTTTGGGAGGTTTACTGAGTGTGACCTGTGTTTACTGAGGTGCTAGAATCACTCTTGCCTGAACTCCTGGCCCTGCCCTCAGCTCCCCTGTGGTTCTGCCCACAGCCCCACCTGGCTGGCCAGCCAAAGCTTGGGCTTCAGTGCTGAGACCTTGTAGGTAGTTGTGGCAACGCTCCTTGTGCTCCTCCAAGGTGCTCTGCTGCTTGTAGCTCCGGCCGCAGTAGTTGCACTTGTAGGGTTTGCCCACTGTGGGAGAAGAGACTGTGGAGGAGAGAGCAGAGGCAACGTGAGAGTGACCACTCCCTATCCCTGGCTCCGAAGCATCATCAGGAGTAACAGCATACGGGCATGAAGACGATAGAAACTTGCTAACTTTTTTGGGGGGTGGAGTTGGGGGCTTGTCATCCCTTCCCCAACTCACCTACAACAAAGAATAGGTGAACCACATATGAGGGTGAGTGGCAATGTACAGCTAAGGGGAGGGGGGACCCCAGCTTCACACTGGTAGTGGGAGTCTAAATGCTCTGGCTGCTTCTGAAAGGAAGTGATGACCTGGGGACTTAGTAGGGGATCGTCCCTGGTAGGCCCCACCCCAGGATCTCAGAGTCTGGGGTTCAGACTGCGGTTTAACCTTTCCATGTTGCAGGCGGGTGCAGACCAGGGGACTTTTTGCCTGCAAGCAGTCTGCTTTGGCTGGAGGGAAATTGGTGGGCTGAGGCGGCACAGAAATGAGAGCCCTTGGATCCACCCATGCGGGAGGGGCATTCTCTTTTTCGGTCATTGTACTGAGATACCAAGAGAGCCCCCAGAGAGCCCAACACTGACAAGAAAAAGAGGCAAAGAGCAGAAGAACAGAGAGGACGGTGGAAGAGTAAAAGAGAACAACTGTGTTTTTTTATTCTTTGTCTTAAAAAGAATGTTATAAAACTCTGAAGGAGAAAAATGGGAAAATTGAGACTAGTAGCTTTATTTAAACACAACTCTTGGGAGGTGGCTTTTTTTTTGTGAGAGAGGAAAAAAAAAAAAACCAAACCCAAAGAGGAACAAGGTACTGTATATTTGTGTTTATTGCTATTATTGAACAGGGAGGCGGGAGAAGACATTGCTAGGAAACTGGTGACTATCATTCACCCCCACAAACATCTATGCTTGGCTACAACTAAATCAACCTTCACCATGTTGCTCTTCGTCTGTAAACTAAGTGCTTACAGTGTGATCTGTAACAGGAAGCGTCTCACAGAGATGGGACCTACATGTATGTGCGATTTCCCCCTTAACCTCCCTAAGGAACAACATTCGAAATCTAGTCAGTTGATCTTGTCAAGAATGTGGGGGACTGCAGGGCATGCTAGTGCATATCTTTAATCCCAGTGCTTGGGAGGCAGATGCAATTGGTTCTCTGTGGTTTCAAGCCAGAATGGTCTACATGGCAAGTTCTAGGCTAGCCAGAGCCTGAGTGAGACCCTGAGAAAAGGGAGCACAGGTTTTGGCCATGTGATCTTGATAGGAACCCGCTAGGCAATAGTCTAGAACATTTATTTCCTTCCCCATAGCAACAGTGTCCTTGTTAAACAAATGGGGGTAGGGGACTTTAGGGCTGGGGCTGTAGCTCAGTTGGTAGTGTGCTTGCCTAGCGTGTGGGAAGCCTTAGGTTCCATCTCCAGCAGCTCATAAGCAGGAGTGGTGGTGTACCCCTGCAATCCCAGTACTTGAGAGGAAGAGGCAGGTAGACCACGGTCAGAAAGTGAAGGTCATCCTTGGCTACAAAGGGAGTTAGAGGTCAGCTTGGGATACATGAGATCCTGTCCCAATAAGTGGGTGCCAGGGGTGGGGCATTTTAATCTGGAACTTTTTTTCTCACTCCCCCATTTAGTATCACATAAGGAGACACAAGAACATTTCTCTGTGGATTACAGAGCATCAGTTAGTGATAATTGCCACATCTCTTCTCCCACATACACCGAGAGAGACAAAGAGGTCCCCGTTATATGGGAGAATCTTGAACAAGGCAGGATGGAGGAAGCAGAAGTTGCTGCAATGTCTCTCTGTCCCTTTAAGTCCTACCCAGGAGGGTTTATAAAAAGAGAAAAACCCAGCTGGGTGTTGGTGACGCACGCCTTTAATCCCAGCACTTGGGAGGCAGAGGCAGTTTGATCTCTGTGAGTCGGAGTCCAGCCTGGCCTGGTCTACAGAGCGAGTTCCAGGACAGCCTCCAAAACAATACAGAGAAACCCTGTCTTGAAAAAACAAAATGAACAAAGAGAGAGAGAGAGAGAGAGAGAGAGAGAGAGAGAGAGAGAGAGAGAGAGAGAGAACACAGGAAAGAACCCAGGAAAGATTCTGGGTCAGACAGTTAATTCTTTCCTCTTCCCCACCCTCTCCTTGCCAGCTCAATCTGGCCAAGGGTTCAAAACTTAGTAAGACACCTAGAAATCACTGTTTCTCCAGTTACTTCCATCGAACACTAATTGTTTATTTCATTGTTTTGAGACAGGGTCTCACAGAGCCCAAGCTGTTTGAATACCCGACCTTCCTGCCTCTGCCTCTCTGGTACTGGCTTCTGGGTACTCTTTGGATTTGCTTTCATCTATGAGAAAATTACCACTTCTTGGGATGCACAGCAGAAATGGAACAGTCTTTTCCTATTTGGAGATCCTAGCTCCTTTCCTTCCAGTTTGGGAGGTCTGTAGATTAATTTTTTTTTATATAGGAACCACTAGGAAGTAGAGGGCAGGACATGCAGTGATTGTCCAAGACCTCTGGTATCTTTTTTGTTTGTTTGTTTGTTTGTTTTTTTGAGACAGGGTTTCTCTATGTAGCTTTGGAGCCTATCCTGGCACTCACTCTGGAGACCAGGCTGGCCCCGAACTCACAGAGATCTGCCTACCTCTGCCTCCCGAGTGCTGGGGCCACCAACGCTGGCTGACCTCTGGGTAAAGATGGTGATGGGTGTAGTTTCCTAGTGCAGATGAGAGTGGGGAGAAGCCTCCTACTGGGCTCAGAGTTAGGGCTGATGAGACACATATGATGTTGGCATCATTAAAATGTTTAGAAAACAAAGGTTAGGGGAGCTGGAGAGATGGCTCAGGAGTTAAGAGCACTGGCTGCTCTTCTAGAGGACCCATGTTCAATTCCCAGAACCCATATGGCTGCTTACAGCTGTCTGAAACTCCGGTTCTAGGGGACCCGACACCAATGCACATAAAAAGAAAATAAATCTTTAAAAAAGAAAAGAAAAGCAAAAGTTAGGGACAAGCTGGGAACATTAGCCATGCTCCCTTTGCTACATGTCACAGAATGTGGCGGGGAAGAGCCCCACAAATTCCTCACAGATCAGCAAGGCAGGTCCCTATCTGCTCTGTCCGTGCCCTGTAGGTGCTCCCTGTGGGTGCTCCCTGTGGGTGCTCCCACTCCTCAGGGACAGACACTGTCCCTCTCCAGTGCAGAGACATCTTGAAGCTCTTTTCTGAGCATGTTGGGTGCCACTCTCTCTGCTCCTCCTGGGTAGTCACTGACCTGAGTGTGTACGGAGGTGGCCAGTGAGAGCGTCGCGCCGGCGGCAGGCATAGTTGCAGAAGGGGCATTTGAAGGGCTTCTCTCCGGAGTGCAGCTTGATGTGGCGCAGGAGGTTCCCCTTCTGCGTGAAGGAGGCTCCGCACTGATTGCAGTGGAAGGGCCTTTCGCCTACAGGTGGAAGAGCAGGTTTGGGGGAGACTGTGTGAGGTGTGTTGAAGAGCAGAGCTGAGGGGAAAGTTCTCTGAGAACATTCTGGAGGAGCAGTGAGTGCCACACATACCAGGCTTACTTTATAGAGGTCACCTGGGGCCCTCTTACCCTGGAAAGGTGTGGACTAGAGGTGTACCTGAAACCAGTACAGTGCCTAGAAGACCTGCCAAAAGACTATTACCCAAAATAGCTCTGTGTAGCCTTTGCCTAATTATTCTTTATCAATAAAAGATTGGGAGTCAGATATTGGTAGGAGGTGGCTTCCCCACAGCTTCTCTGACCATTCAGTTCTTACCCCAATATCTGACCCCCGATCTTTTATGGATAAAGAGTAATTAGTTAAAGGCGTCAGCTCAGAGCCCAGTCTGTCCAGGGAGCCCAAAGTCTGAGGAGGGTAAGCAGAGGTTCCCCCTCCCCTACACTCCCTTTTAAATTATGAGATGAAAAGGCCCTGGAATTCTGTCTCTCTTGGACTGACTATAGGCAGCTCTCTCTGACTTCTGCAAACATTTTTTGGTGTTGAGATCCACCACAGGTCTTACACATGCACACCCCCCACCCCTACCCCCCACCCACCCCCATCACTGATCATCAGAGAAGCTTCAAAAATTCTTCTAGAGGCCCCAACACCCACTCTCTCTACACCCTGAGAAAAGGAGTAGTAGTTCTTTGTCACAACAGCTGAAGAAAAGGGCTGAGAAGGTACAGATGTTCCGAGGGGCTCATAGCCCTTTCTCTCTTTTGTTATCTAGAAAACATGCTCCCAGCCAGTCACTGGTAGTACACGCCTTTAATCCCAGCACTCGGAAGGCAGAGGCAGGCAGATCTCTGTGAGTTTGAGACCATCCTGATCTACAAGAGCTAGTTCCAGGACAGACTCCAAAGCTACAGAGAAACCCTGTCTCGAAAAACAAAAAAAACAAAACAAAAAAAAAAAAAGAAAGAAAGAAAGAAAGAGAGAAAAAGAAAACATGCTCCCATTGACCCTTCCCTTCCTGAAGCCCCCCCTCCCTCAGGTCTCTTCAGCCTTCTCTACCAGTGTCCTAGCACACCTCTGCCTCACACCCCAGCTTCACCCAGAGCTCTTCCATTAAATCTTCCACTAAAGCTCTGCTGCTTACTCACCAGTGTGGCTTCGCTTGTGTACCATGAGCACATTGGGTCCGATACAGACCATGCCACAGACGTCACACTTGAGCTTGCCATTGGGTAGCCGGATGCCACCAGGAGAGTGAGGCTCTGGTCCACTTCCATCGCAGTAGCCCAAGGGCTCTGACAATGAGTCCTCCACAATCACACTGTCATCCTTGTCCAGGAGCCGTTCGTCGGGCCCCAGCAGTCTACTCGACTCCTCATCGCTGTACATCTCCACCTTGATGGAGTTGGCTGGGGGTCAGGGGACTGATGTTTAGAACAGAGGCAGGCAAAGGGAAAACCACTACCAGGGCAGAGTGACACTTTTATAGTCCAACAGGGTGTCTGCAAACTCTGGGGCACAGAGTGTCAGGAGGGGAAATAGCCTATTTACTATCTTGGATGTCGTTCCAGAACTCATCTGAACTGAAAACAGTCTTTCCACCTACCAGTCACCAGGCAAATAGAGTTAAAAAAAAAAATGGAATGCACAGGATGTCTTCTGTCAGCAGGCAGAAGAGGTGACTAAGAAGACTCTTTGCCTGAACTTTCTTGTCATTAACAAAGATATTTGATTGGGCAGTGGTGGCGCACACCTTTAATCCCAGCACTCAGGAGGCAGAGGCAGGTGGATCTCTGTGAGTTTTAAGGCCAGCCTGGTCTACAGAGTGAGTTCCAGGTCAGCCAGGGCTACAGAGCAAGAGCCTGTCTAAAAAAGAAAACAGAAAAAGAAAGAAAGATAGATGTCTGGGTTGGCCTCGGGCAGGAAGCCAGTGAGAAACAGTGGCGGGAAAATAGTCTCGGGGAGACTGAAGGGGACAGCAGGCTAAAGGCAGAGTAGACCTGGAAGGCAGGTGTGATTTATTCTCCCTTATGAGACTGAACCCCCTATGCCTCTTCCTAGGAACCTGAGGGGACACAGGGGAGGAGCTTTGGCACTAGCTCTGACCTACATTCTTGGCTATTTCAACCATTTAGAGAATGTCACAGATCTAGGGCCAGCTGGGGAGGGGCATTCAGGGGGACCCTGCCTGGCAGGAGAAGATGGATGGGAGGTGACAAAGTCCTGTTACTGTTCATTTTCTGCCTCTCTCTACCCAATGATCATTTCTGTCTCCAATTCCAGAATTTTTCTTTGGAACCTTTATCCCTCTCCCTTCCCCCAAACATGGGGTTTCTCTGTGGAGCCCTGGCTGTCCTGGGACTCTGTTTGTAGACCAGGCTGGCCTTTTACTCACAAAGATCTGCCTGCCTCTGCCTCCTGAGTACAGGGATTAAAGGTGTGCGCCACCATGCCCAGCTGGAACCTTTATCTTAATGTCACCCATACACCCAATCTGGCATGAGCTATTTACTCTTTTTCAGAAACAAGGTGAGCACTGGGTAATGGGCTCCTTCCTGCGCCCCGAGGCCTTGAGAGTCTCTGAGCAGGAAATCGGCAGGACGTGATGGGGAAATAGTGATTAGGAGGAGGCAAACTGAGGGCCAAACAAAAATGGGGCTGCCTGGTGCCAGAAATGGGTAGAAGGATCACACTTACCACTGAGTGAGCGGCTGGGTGAAGAGTGCTGGCTATTTGGGGTGCTCACCGAGGGCCCCACTGGGGCCCCGAGGAACTCCTTCTCCAGAGATGAGTCCCCGCTACCTTGGAGGAGAGAACAGATTAAAGGTAAAGCTTGGACTGGAGCCTCTACGATCCACTACCTAATCTTCTTTAAAAACAAAAACAAAAACAAAAGCAAACAACTTCAGTTAAAATTCACAAGCATTGGTCCTATATTCATGTACAAGGTAGGCTGAATGTAAGTACCCTACCTGGTGCCCCAGTGGCCTGGCGCTCAGTGCTGACCTTGACTTCCGTGAACTCAGCAGCAGAGTCTGGCCTACTCTACCTTTATCTATGCCTGAGGGGAAGGAGCATCACCCACTGCCTAACTCTGCAGGAAGCAGGGCCAGGGCTGGGCGGGCCAGGGTAGAACAGAGAAAAGGAACCTGAAGAGAAGGTGGCACGAAGGGACATTCTTTCCTACTGCCCTCTCTCTCTCTCTTTCCGTCTCTCTCTCTCTCTGGAGCTCCCATAGCAGCTTTGGAATCTTCAGGGAGGGCGTCTAGAGCTGTCCAGAACCTAATGACGATATTCCTTAACAATAATGACAGCAGCTAATATTTAGTGAGTGTGCACTTGTACCAGGCATCGGTCTGTGTGCTTGGGACGCACTCTCCCCTTTACGCTCTGCAACCATCTTACAAAATAGGTGCTGCGATGTTACTTTAATGTTTTGGATTCGGAGACTCTCACAAAAGAAGTTTATGTTACTTGTCTAAGCTGGTAGGGCCACCTGAGGTAATGCTGAGTCCTTGGCCACTGCTTGGCCAGTGGGAGTGAGTTGGGCCCATTAGGCTCTCTAAATTCAACCAAACTTTAAAGACCGGAGGACTTTCTACCTGATTTGAGTCCGATTCCATATTTACTGTTTGATGTTCTCTTGAGGGCTAAATATTGGCTATCCTAAATGCATTCATTTCAACCTGTTGACCAAACACTTTGTAAAAATGCTTTCTGAAATTATGTTTTTTTAAAAAAAATCTGATGACATACCTGAGAAACATGAGCATCTTCAAAATAATCCCCCCTCCCCACAATTTTCTGCACAAACATATGAGTGAAATAAAAACACATGTAGATAAACACACGAACACAGATCACATATGTAGATACACATAAAGAGAACATACAGCCGTCTATATTATATGTTAACATGGACATGCATGGGTATATGCACAGAAGTCCTAAACATAGGGGGAGAGAGAGAGAAAGAGGGAGAGAGAGAGAGGGAGAGAGAGAGAGAGAGGGAGGGAGAGAGAGACCCTAAAATCCATCCCTAAAGTCCACCTAGGTTAATACTTTACCCAGTTTCCCAGCTAAGCACATACTTACTTTCACAAAATAAAGATTCCATTATAAAATGGTTGGAGTCCTGGGCCTGAGGCAAGAAATCCGGAGCACACCCTCCTGAGGGATCCCTCTCCAGCTTTGATCAGTGGGAAGAAAACAACCACTCAGGACTTTGGGATCATTTCCCGTTCACATCCTTTCCTAAAGGACGTCCCACTCCCCATTCTATCCCATGGAAGCCCGAGGAACCCTCATCACCAGCTGTGGGAAAAGCCGTATGGCTCAAATCTGATTTCCCCCAGCTGAGCCTCCTTAGGAGTGTAACAGTTCTCTTAAAAAGTTCCCTGAAGTCAGCACCACACACAAACCATGCTGTGAGCAGCAGTTAAGACTTGTAGATTCAGGCCCAGTCTTAACACGTGCTCTTTCGACTGAGTTTTCTAAAGTTAGGTTAGATGGGCTGACAAAGGCTAAGTTAAACTCACAATCCTCCTGCCTCAGCCTCCCAAGCACTGGGATTACAGGTGTGAGCCACACCCTGCTCCTTACTTTTTTTAAAGGTTAGTGCTGACTTGCCCCAAATCTCTCAATATTAGTAAGGAAGGACCTGTTAAAGCCTTGACCCTAAAATGATGGGTGAGCTTCTTGGAAATCCATACTTGGTTGGTCCCAACTGGGGTTGCCTCTGAGACTAGGGGACTAGCTAGCTGGGGAATACTAAGGGACATTGAGGGGAAAGCATTCTTTGTGGGTCTCCCAGTGAAGGGCTGGAAACAGGAGAGAAAGTGGGAGCCTGGAGGAGCACCAGTAATCGCATAGGCTCCTTAATGCTGTTGTCATCCCTAGGATAAAGGCAAGAGGGAAACAGACTCAAGTCTACTTTCACGGCGCTAAAATCTAAGAAGAAGCCTGTGTCGAAGGCCAGAAGGTCTTTGTGGGGCTCCAGGGATTTAGATTTCTAGCCTGAGGGTGACAGGGACAAAAGTCAGATTTGGGAAACTCATTGGTTTTCCCTCTCAGCCCCAGAAACCCCAGTGAGGGAATTTCAAATGCCTGGGACTTCCAAGAAATCTCAGAATGAAGGCTGCTCTCAGGTATCAGAGACATTTTCTTGGTCAAAGCCATCATGGATTGGCTGAACCCCCAGGGAGCAAAGCCAAATCGTAAGGTTCACATCAGAGCAACTAAGAGGTGGAGAAAGGGCAGAAAAGCGGGAGGGAAGGGATCGGGAAGCGGTACACCAGCTAGATGCATCTCACACGCTGAAGGAGACCAGCCCTCTCCTTCATCCCATGAGTGGCTGCCTCTGGGGAGTAGCCTGGAGCTCGGCAAGCCTCTGCACTTCTTTGCAAGGGACCTCATCCTCTTGCTGTCTCTTCTTGACCATGGGCTCCAGGTGACAGGATGCTAGCCTGCTATCAGGGACCAGTGAGTGCATGAGCAAAGAAAGACAGCCATCCCCGGCTCTATTGTGGGCAGGAGGCTGAGGCCCCTCACACCTCTGTTCCAGGAGGAAGCGTCTGCTGTCAAAGCTCCTCTTCCTCACCTCAGGTCTTTTCGACTATCCATTCCCACCCAGCCTGTTTCTCATTCCACCCCTCCGGCTGCTCTACCTCTGTCCCCAAGGCCTAATCAAGATGTCACCACAAGCTCCCACTGTCCAAGTCACCGTCTTCGCTTAGCAACACCAAACACCCTTTCCCATCCTCCTCAAGTATGAGGAGGAACGCCCCCTCCCCCGCTACACACATACAGCCCCCATCCTTCCCTCTCCTCAGGCTTGGGAGTTGTTACTTATTTCCCTCCCTAGCCCCATCACCCCCCTCCC